AAATATTTTATTTGAACACAAAATCACATTTCAAACAAGTTACAATCAAACTTCAACTTAAGGTAAGTCTCATTTAATTTTTAAATTATTATTCTGTTATCTTCCCAATTTTTGTTTTTCATCAAATATTGAAAGCAGAGGAAGATGGCATGGACTGTGGTTGATCAAAACCTGGAAGATGGAAACAAAGGGAAAGTTAGAAAAATATTTGAATTTGCAAACCTTTTTATTGTAGTATATTAGCAAGCTCAGAAGATATGGATGTTGTTTTATAATCACAAATAATCATACGAACGAGACTCTACATAGTTCATCATTGCTTGCAATGTAGAAAAAAAATAGCATGTAGATGTATATGAAGTACTGCACAAAATTGGTTGAACCTAGAGCAGATATGGTTTCAGACAATCATATTATCCTTCACTTTTATATTATATACGGTTATTTGTAATTCTTACTTATTCCTATTAGTCAGATAACCGTTCAATCATGACATTGATTATATTATGTCTTGAAATGGTATGTTCCACCTATAAGAAAATACACACAATTCAAAAACACAAGAATAAGTCAAATCAATTTATATTGTCATTTCTACTGGATCAGCGTGGTGCATGAACTATGACATCACTGTAATCAGGACAGGTCTGTGGTCAAATCATCATCTCCAGTACGGTACCAATACTAAACTGTCAAATTTCAAAAAAATTACCATCACAATTTTTAACCTTGGCCTTTCACCATCACTGATCAACATCCTAGAACAGGCTCTGAAACAAAAAAGTACACAAAAAATTTGAGCAGGGGAACTTCAGATTGATTATTCTATAGTTGATTGCAGATTCATTATTCTATGGTTGACTGCATAACAAAGCCTCAGAAATTTAATAGTTTTCCTCAACTTGACATTCAGATATATGCTTGTCAAGTGTTCATCACAGGCTTTCCTAAACAGTTTGTTAATTGATAACGAAGACATAACAAGTTACTTCATTAGGCAATTTATTTCATTAGGGAAAGTACATTTATTATGCCGAGGGGGGGATGAAGATGTTAAGGGGGGGCTCCGAAATATTTTCTGGCATTAAAGGGGGGGCTCTGAAAGTTCTTGATATCCTGAAGGGGGGGGCTCTAAACTTTTCAAAGATTTGACCCCAGCAAATTAAAGTTAAAATTCTTACATTTTCAGGTAAAATTTGCGTAATAAAGTAATTATTTTTGTGAAATGATAACCATTTTTGTAAAATACAGTCAATTTACATGCAATTTGTTTGCGAAATTTGCTTTAGAAAACGCCAGAAATTCAGTCCTAGAGCTTCGAAAATGTAAAAATTTTCTGGGGGAGGACCCCCAGACCCCCCTTTTCTCCCAAAACTTAGTATGAGAGTGCCAATCAATCACAAAAAGCTTTATTATAATTATTACACGTATAATCCTCTGACATCCCCCACCCCCCAAACGTCAGATGCTTTGCTACGTCCCTGATGGTTGTATTCGAAACCGATTTCAGTTTTAAGATATCCTTAGTCTGCTCTTCTAAATGGATACATGAAATCACCTATAGCTTATTTTAAATTTTTTGGCGCCAGGTTTGTGAAGTAACTTACGCGCCAAAAAGTAGCAGTTCCAAAAACAAAAAAGCATATACGATTTGCAAGAATGATGTGTTCTATGTTTATGGGATATTTCGTACAAACGGGATGGAAATTAAAGAAATTGAAGCATAATGGCACTTTTGCATGCATTTTTGACAGGCATACAAAGACATTTGCAACAGATGCCGGGAGACACTTGGGTGGGGGCGACATACTGTAAGGTTCCAGCACATTACCCTGATCCAGGAAATCCTGGCCACTACATGAACGTGTTCAAGACTCCGAATACGCTGAATGATGGACAACAACAACCTGTTGATAATTTCATCCCTAGAGCCAATTTAAAATGTTTTAAAGACGGTGCCATTTCATCTGGTGCTAGTGAGGTGAAAGAAGCAGCAGATCGGTAGTTTTGTTGAGGAGAAGCACATGTTTGAGTATATCAGACATCTTGAGGAACTGCAAATTGTATCTATGATAAGAGAGAATTCCGGATTGTACTCCTTCGATTCCGAATTCTAGAGGGGGGGCATTGAAAATTTTAAAAACTTGGAGGGGGGGCATCGAAATTTACCGATAACCTCAACAGGGGCCCTGTAAAAATATGAGCTTTTTTCAAGACATCTTCATCCCCCCCCCTCGGTGTAATAAATGTACTTTCCCTAAATCCATGAAAAACTGGCGTTAATAAATCAGGTGAAAAATCTTGAAAACTCATAAGGGAAACGGGCAAATAATAGAGGATTGAAATGCGGAAAATAGATAAGGTTTTAATTTATTATGGCTACGTTGATACGTTCAAGAGGTTTTCCGTCTTTGCAACGTGGCCAAGGCTTTATTTTGCAAGAATACAAATATTGAATAAAAAGAATACGTTATTGCACGTCCGTATTTACTATTCCCATCGGCAAAAATAACCAGAATTTTTTTTCGCGAAGTAAATTTATTATTTACTTCCGTTTTTTGGGCGCTTCCGGTTTTGACAAATACTGAAATACATGTGTTTACAAAGTCAAACCACAGTCTACACACAAGGTACGTGCAAGAAATTATATTAATTTCATTATTTCATCTACTTTTTGATAATGATACAGTGTATTTGAAATACATAGAATTATTTGTTTGCTTAAATTGATACAGCAACTCTTTATGCTAATAAAATTACAATATTTTGCGACATGTGTATTGTGTGCAGTGTACTATATCATATTTTTACTCGTATATAGTTCGTTAATTCTACACAAATGGCCCATTATGGCCGATATATACGCAATATTCGTCTAATATCTAAAGATCTGTCTCGTAGATTTGTTACATTGTTGAATAGTTTAGGTTGAATGAGCCACTACGGGGGCATTGTCCTAGCCTAGTATTACTATTCTCTCTATACGTGACTGTATAATCCATATCTTTCCGCATTTATATATTCATTATACAGTGAACAGCGTCTTGATGTTAACCTAAGTATAAAGTATGTGACTTTTTGTGATTTGGGGGCAAACAAAAACGAGGAATGAGGAATTCCCAATACTGAATGTCTGACAGTGACAGTCTGAGTGTCTGACAAAGATTGTGGAATGAAACGCAGGAAAATTGAAACCAATCGAAAGCGCGTGATCTGCCTACGATGCGACAAAGTACTAAACGCAGATAATACGACATATCACCAGCAATCAATACACAAAGGACTGACGCCGAAGTTTCAAGATATAGTCGACAAATCCCAACGGCTCCTGAATTTTGAATCTTTCAAACCTGTCGAACTTTTGAGTGAGGTATAATTTGAAAATTTTTTATAATAATATAATTGATGCAGACATGCAGTAGCCAGACTGAGATTTTGTATAGCTGTATTATGTCTGTTTATCGGCATGTTGCTGTGTGTACTTCGATTCTATTTGATTCCATTTGGAAACAACTAGTGTGTGCAAAAAGCAAGACAGACGGTGTGTATAGTCGAAGAAGTATAGAACATTTAAATGAGGTTATGATATAGATTTTATGGTAATACTTACACCATACTAGTCACAATATAATGTATTTTTATGTATAATATCTATTTTTGGATAGTCTATTGGTTCCTGTCAACAGCCAACAAAATGCGAAACAAGTTTACAACAGCTTCAAACACAGTCAAGATCAAGGGAGTCGACTTCTTATGACGCGAGCTGGGCTCCTGTTCAAAAGGAAGTTAATGTAGAAATAGAGATTGACCAGCCGAGCTTGCCCGACGCTGACGTCCACCAAAATATTTCATCTGATTCTGCAACTGCCGAAAATGAAAAACAACAAACAATCTGTTCACAAGCATCAGTTATAGTGTCTGAATCGATTTTTCATGGATCTGAAACAGCTGAAACGGACGTGAACGATCGTGAATGTCGTAAAATTGATCTTGTACGCACAGAAACTGAATTGCCACCATTGCCAAACAGCACTGCCACCATTCCCGAATTGATGCTTGAAGATACTGAAAATACATGTTGTTAAATTTGCATGTTGTTAAATTTATTGTCACATAAATTGTAAGTCGTTGATTGTAATTCGTTGTGCTTGTTTGTTGATCTTCACGTCTGTCTGTCTGTCTGTCTGTCTGTCTGTCTGTCTGTCTGTCTGTCTGTCTGTCTGTCTGTCTGTCTGTCTGTCTGTCTGTTTGTTTGTCGGTCTGCAAGCCTGTTATTGTTCATACTGTGTATTCCGAATGTCTTGGAACCCCGTTATTGGAGAACTAATCTCTGTGTGGTAATTCCAGCCATGTAATCTATTGTGTGTAATAGTTTGTGTTAACTAATTTTGGGTCTGTCTGTCTGTCTGTCTGTCTGTCTGTCTGTCTGTCTGTCTGTCTGTCTGTCTGTCTGTCTGTCTGCCTGTCTGTCTGTCTGTCTGTCTGTCTGTTTGTTTGTCGGTCTGCAAGCCTGTTATTGTTCATACTGTGTATTTCGAATGTCTTGGAACCCCGTTATTGGAGAACTAATCTCTGTGTGGTAATTCCAGCCATGTAATCTATTGTGTGTAATAGTTTGTGTTAACTAATTTTGTGTAATAG